TAAATAATTATCAAGAAGCTCCCCCAACTCTAAGGCAACTTAAGAGTTTCCACAGCAACACCCATAACCTCTGCGTCTGGAGCTTCAGGGGTTTCACTGTTGCCCTCTTTAGCTCTCCTCCCAGCAAGCTTCTCCTTGCAACTCAAAACCATAAAAAAAAGGCCAGGGTCTTGGAAGTGATTGATGAAAACTAATAATAAATTAATATAAAAAAAAAGTAATTAAGTTTGGCTTGCTAATAAAAAAAAAAAAAAAAAGAAAATACTTGTCTCACCCTAATCTGCATGGAGGCAAGGAGGGTGGAATATTTCTCCAACTAAAGAAGGTCCCCAAATGGCAAAAATAAGCCCCAACAGGGCTTGTTTCCGAGAACGATGCTTAGAAACTAGATGGACTGGGCTGGAGCCCGGCCTGGTGGCCTTGAGGGGCCTGCTTTTCCTTGGGCACCAGGGTTTATCTGCCTGACCCTGGCAGCTGGCAAGTGGTTGGCGCTGGTGGTGAGGAGGATGACAGGCCCTTCCTTTGGAGGGGCTGCTTTCCTCTAGGATGCCTACAAGCCAGTGGTCTAGGGGTACAGCTATTTCCGAGGTTCTTGGGCTCAAGGTCAGGAGGCCCATCGGGCTCTGAAGTGAGGTGATTTGATTCTCCTGATCCATCCAGCCTCCTGTTCTCCCTCAGGCTGGTGCGCTTGCTCCATGGATGCCACTTGGCACATCTTCCCATTGCCCTTTATGTGACCCACAGTTTTGAGTCCTTGGAGGCTGTGGCCTTCCACAATGCACAGCCACGTACTAGCACCACCAGAAGAATAAGACTGTTTTCTAAAAAATGGCTTTTGGGGGGAAGCTTGGCATCATTAAAAGTACGCACTTGGGATATTGTGCCAATGCTGGCCACTCACTTCCTCCTACTAAATTTTGGAACCTGTTCATTTTCAACCAGAAGTGTGTTTCCTAGAGACAAGGACAGACAGAGCAGTTCTAAGGGCTGTCCATTCAAAGGCCTATCCGAGTCTGGGTTCCATGGAGGTTTTTGTCATCTGCTGACTTTGTCCTGTGCCCTTTTCAGTTCAATTCCAACAAACATTTGCCAAGGACCAGCTTCATGCCAAGGATACGATTGTCAAGTGTTCTATGAAATAATATCTCTTGGTGCCGTGGCACAAACAACAGAAACAACTCCATCAACTCCTTCATTTGCATCTGTCTTCTAGTCAGCGGCAACCTCCTCATTTTATTGGATAAAGATTTCCCATCATGAGGAACAACAGTGAGATGAATATTTACAGACAGTTTTAAAACTATGATTCTTCACAAGCACTAGCCTCTTTTTCACCATTCTAAAACACATCTCGATGCATTAGTGCAGAAAGCCCACACAGGACTGGGGACCATTTGGCCTACATCTTTGTCTCATGGGTTGACCAAGACGTGAGCCTTCACGTCCTAAGCAAGACTGGGCCTTAGGAGGCTGCATCACTGCCTCCAGATTTTATGGAGTGCCAGCAAGGTAGGCTCTTTAAAAGCTCACGTTCTATTGGCAGAACCTTCAAGAGCCAGCTCACTTCCACACCACAGTGAACATCACAGGAAGATTTCTACCAAAGTCCCATTCAAATATGAGTTTTTGTTTAAGAGTTAACAACAGAGCAATACCTTTGTGTTTGGTATGCTTTACTCAGACTCCTTCTACATAATGACTCCTTCTAGTCCATCCTCCACTCGGCTGTCAAAATGATCAATCGTTCTATTTAAGAAACTCCAGCGGCTCCCTATTATGTCCGTGATCAAATATTAAGCCCTTCATGACTGTACCGTACCCTCCCACCGCTCCAGTCGTCTTCTACCTTACTCTTTTTCATGTGCTCTACAATCTGCTGGTCCTCATATACGCCAATCCATTTCTGACTCTGGGAATGTTCACTGTCTCCTGTTCCTAGAATACTCTCCCCTCCTCACCAGTCTCAGCTAAAGTTCCACCCTCTGCAAGAAGTCTTTCATGATTCCCCTTTAACGCTTATGCTTCCCTCAGGATTATCTAATTTAATGTAAATATCTCGTTTGTATATAATTGTTTGCATGTTGTATTCCCCCATGAGACTGCGAGCTCCTTAAGAACAGGGATTTTTGTGCCTTTCTCTGTATCCCCAGGGCTTAGCACAGTGCCTGGTACACAACAGGCACTTAATAAATGCCAGCTGACCACAACAGAAGAGTTCTATACTGTGGGTTTCCTTTGATGAGAGCATACCTATCACCATACACATTTTTAGCTAATGCAAAAACAAACAAATAAAGAAGTAAATCCTCGCAAGAATGGTGAAATATTATTAGGAAACAAGGAGGGAAGGAAACACACATTTATTATGCTCCAGGCACTGTGCTAAGCACTTTACAAATATCTCTTTTGGTCCTCACAACAACCAGAGGTAGGTGATATTATTATCCCCATTTCATAGTTGAGGAAACTAAGGCAAACAAAGGGTTAAGGGACTTGTCCAAGGCTACACAGCTAATAAGTGCCTGAGGCTGATTTGAACTCAGGTCTTCTGGACTCCAAGGACTGAGCTCTATCCACTGCGCCGCCATCTGCCTTAACTGAAGCATTAAAATATCTGAGTAAGCTTCCAACAGGGGAAGAATTAAGACTAAAATGTAAACTGACAAGGTAAATCAGAAGTACCAGAATTGTGATTTACATCAAAAAAGATTATAAATCTTTAAAGGTGAATTACACTGAAGTATACCTAAACCATGTCATGCTGGTCATAGGATGGAAAAGTCATATCTATATGAGTGTTTCTGGTTTAGTCTTAGCAATGGTACTTGTGGGATGACGCAGAATGAAGAGGAAAAAATGCTATTCTCCATGGAAAAGGATGGGCTGATGAGAGGAACCATATACATTCCAAAATATTTCAGACTTACTTATACACAAGTCCATGATCAGTCATGGGACTACACAGTCCATTACTAGTATACTTTCCATTATAATAAACTCCCTCTGTACATATAATTTCTCTCATCCTATAATCTATACTTTGAAGTACCTTGCATGGGCTGAAAGGAAAAAAAAAAGAAAAAGGTTGCCAATTTCCAAAAAGTCAGCTTTCACAACATGAGCATTGCAGCCTAAGCATAACCATCATTACCAGAAAAGAAATCCTATCCACGGTGGTGCCAAACTCCCAATAATCCACCCACAAGGATCCTTGTGGGCCACATTTGGACTTAGTTTTAAAATGGCATGTTGTCTATTTTGGTCCTATCTTCATTTACTTTGTTAAATATCTCCCAACACACTATAGTCTGGTTTGGGCCACAGTAGAGGGCCGTGCCTACGTGTGTGACACCTCTGCTTTAGAACACAAGTTTCACAAACATGACTTCTACCTCTGATAAGCTTCCCCTCTCTGGGAGCCATTCCTGCCGAAGCACATCCACCCATAAAAAAAGCATGAAGAGAAGTTAGAAAGAAAAAGACACCAAGCTCCGTGGAAACAAGCCTAACTGCAAAGGACTGGCATAAACCAGAATAAACTAATTTCATGTTGTGGGAGAAGGAAAGAGAGAAGGAGATGGACCAAAGGACAGGAAGTGGAAGGGAAAGAGGCGGAGGGAGACCTGAGAAATGGCCACAAGGTGGGCCCTTTCTGAGTCTAAGAAAGCAGAAAGCCGGGGCCAATATTGACAGCAAGATTCCATATCTGTGAAATGGTGTTCTCCCTTCGCAAGACAACAATCTCAGACTCCAGGATTTCGTCAAGGTTAGTACCTAATGTGGGCCTGAGGTTTTTAAGTCTCCCTACCGAAAATTTTACCTATTTAAATCACTTCTACTTTACCACAATTAAGCAGCCTTATTTATCAAGTGTGCACCTTGATCATCCAACCTTTTGTTACTTGAGAAAAATGACACTGCTCTGAATTAGCAGAGATTATATTCATTTTATCCAGCAGGAGGCTAGGTTTTGAGGTAAGGCATCAAACTCACGCATTTTCAGAGCCTCGTACACAGACCTGTGCTAGTCAGCTGAGCATCTCTGTTAAGGACACACAGCACATGCTCAACCTTTCAAAAATGAACCAAGATTTATTTTCTTCCAAAGGGGTACATCTGAAAGGGACCTGAACTTGTTTAATTTCACACCACCTACATAAACCAATCCTGACAGCGCTGCATTGGCACAGAGCCAAACAGAAGGGCCACCACAAGAGGAAGAGGGCAGAGGTAGGAGGAGACTGAAGCAGAGGACCACAACAAAAACAGGGCCAATGCAGCACTTGGGGAAGGAAAACAACTGCTCAGGCTCCAATGGCTCACAGCCTCATTTTCTGACTTCAAAGCTGACTACCAATTCAACTCCAGCCCTATTTTCTTCTCTAGTTAACTATTTCTCTTAACAAAATTGCTATTTTAAACCATTATTCTTATGAAATCAGAGCATCTAAAGACCATATCCTGCCTGAATTAAAATAAGTTTAGAGACAATGCTAAGCAGTATAGAAGTCATGGGGGGGGGGGGGGGGGTAGGTATCCCTGGACAAGCAGGAACATTTTTTTTACTTTAATCACTCTACGTAGTAGGGCAGCAGGCTGTTTTCCTATCAAAACCACTTTTCCAGTAATACCAATGTCCTTGCCTGTTCAACAGTGAAGGTCTTAAAAAGAATCAAGGGGGAAGAGGGGCAGGCAGATGGAAATCCAAACCATAGAGGAAAATGCAGTGAATAATGAATGACATCGTTGCCTGATGCCATAATGCTCAGAAATAAGTGGAAGAAGAAGCAATCTGTGCCTGCAACACCACAGCAATTAATGACTGGTCACCGTTCAAAAGTCTAACAAAAAACCAGACGAAGGAAAAGGATCCCTCTTTGTGTGGCTTTGTCAGTGAAAGAAAATGAATTCCCCCCAAAATGCTGGGATGACCGTGCACAGCCTCCCCCCTCAACGAGCCCTGGGCCGGCTCGCCGTCAGTCACTCCTAAACGCTCTTACCTGTGAGGACAGCTTTTGCCGAAGGGTCTGCCAGATCGAGGGCCGATTTCCCGTCGGTGTTTCGGATGTTTGGATCGGCTCCGTGCTGCAGCAGAACTGTGCAGGGAAAGCAGAAACAGTCTCTTACCTCGGGGACACACACATTATGGACTGGTAAGTGTCTCCTCGGCATGGTGTAGGCAAACACATACATTGCACAATCTTCTGCTCTCCCTCTTTCTGTGTTTTACAAAAAGCACTGCAGCAGACATTCCTCTCTAGAGTAAAGCTAAGTTGGCCACTTTGGGTCCAGTGAGATCACGTGACTCGCCATGGCAAACAGCAAGGCAGGAGATGCTGCTATGCCCGCCTCGGGTCCCTCACCTCCACAAGCTGGATGGGCTGCACCCGCACAGCCTGACTCATGCAGTGAAGCCTACTCTCGGGAAGCCGGCTCCAGCGGCTTTACTACCTCTGTGGAAGCTGCTGCTTCGTTAGTGATCAATGTCCAAACGCTTCCTCTCCCCCCCCTCCCCCACCCAAACAGCTGTAAGGTGGAACAAGCTTTTCAGTGGTTCACGGCTTGCACATGGAACTTGACATAACACGCTGGCCTGCATCCAAGAAGTTTAACAGACAGAGAACTAGATGCTACTCAGGCCCCTGCAGCCCGGCTGCAAAAGGGTGACTGCCTTTTCAAATATTCTTTCCTTCAACAATGTTTATGTACAGAAATCCAATTATGGTAAAGAATGCTAAAGAGTCTGCCGCTCAATTGCATGCCCAATGGAGGCCAACTATGGGACTCTGTCAGATGTGGAGGTGCCCCTAAAAACAAGTCGAGCAAAATCCTGATGCACCAACAGCTCTCTCTGTCTGAAAAGAAGTTATCACAGGCCACCTTAAGGCAGACACAGCTCAATCACAAAGAGAAATGAAGACAAATTGTTATCAGTGCTAGTAGGAATGAGACTAACTACACTTGCAGATCAGTCAGGCACTTCATTTACATTCGTCCCATCACAACAGCCCAGTGACTGTTAGATAGCTGCCCTGTAATTTGATAGGCGAGGAACCCGACACTCAAAATGCAGGTGTCTTAGAGCAAGTATCCAAGCCCAAATCCAGGCCCAAGTCTTGCTGACTCCAAATTGCATGCTCTATTTATTATTCTACCTTGCCTCTCTTGTTGGGGATAGCTCGGTCAGTTAAAACAAGACAATCTGGGCGTCTTTTGGATGACAAACAGAGAATTTACCATTTCCACTGCACTTTCAAGCATTAGATTCAAACAAAACAGAAAGTTTACTACCTACTGATAAGTTCAACCAACAATAAAAGGAGAAAATTTTGGTCCACTCCTAACAATCCAAGAGCTGCTGAGCCAGGGCGACCCCAAGTTTTTTTCATCAACACCACCATTCCAAAACATCACCTCCCCTCTAATGGCATCCAGAGAATAATTTTCAAGAATTATCATATGTCAAGAATTTAGGCACTGGAGAAAAACGACTGCTTTCCTTAAACATTACGAGGCTCAATGCACGTACACAGACAGAGCTGGACATAGCAAGCGCTCCCTAAGCATCGTCAAGTCTTTGGATACATGAATGTTCATCATCTGTTCTTGTATCTACATGAAGAGGGATGTTGAGCTAGGACAGTAAGCCCTTCCGTAAGTGATGTGAAACCAACGTGATGTATAACTTTGGTTGGCATTACCCACAAGACAACAGTGACCAATACAGGCACAGAGAGGGCATACCAGCTCACTCTTGCCAAGCATAGCAGTATCCTTTACCAGAAACGAAAAGTAAGCAAACCCAACACACAATAAAGAACTACTAAGTCTGTACCACGAGGAGAGCAAAGAAAAAAGAAAGGGACCCATATACACAAAAGCATTTATAGCAGCTAGCTCTTTTTATGGTGACAAAGAACTGGCAATCGAGAAGAGGTCCATCTATTGGGGAATGGCTGAATGGCGTGATTGTGAGGGAAAATTGTGCTCTAAGAAATGACAAGTAGGATGTTCTCAGAAAAACTCAGGAAGACCTATATAAACTGACAAAAATGAAGTAAGCACAACCAGAAGAACAATGAATACAGTTACAGCAATACTGTAATGATAATCTATGAAAGACTTACTAGTAACTCTGATCGACACAACGATCTACCACAACTCCAAAGGACTCATGACAAAAAATGCTACTGGCCATTTCCAGATGGAGAACTCTTGGACTTAGACTGAAGCATATTTTTTCCTTTATTTTTCTTGCTCCCTTCCCCCTAAACAGGGCTAATAAACATGTTTTGCATGACTTCATATGTATAATGGGTACCATATTTCTTGACTTCTCAATAGGTGGGACAGAGGTAAAGAAAGGGAGCAAATTTGTAACTGAAAATAAATTATTTTTTTAAAAAAAGAACTTTAGAATAGTTCTTTAAATTACTTAGCTAAATCTTATCAAATGCCCGAATGAACTGCTACTAAAAAAGCACATAACTAGGATAAGTTGCTAATGAAGTTAATATTGTTAACAAATTTTGTACTTGAGTTCAACAAAATCACCTCTACGACATCAGATGGGTCAGGTCTGGAGGGGCAGCAACTATTCTGAAAAGGATCTTGGGGTCTGTGTGGACTGCAAGCTCAATGAGTCAGCCATGTGACGTAGCAGCCAACAAAGCTCATGCAAACTAGGGCTGCACAGAGGAACACAGGTGCCAGGAACAGAGAGATCCTCCTGTGCTCCGCCCTGGTCGGACCTCAGCTGGAGGCCTGGGTTCAATTCTGGATACCATGGACATGGAATAAAGGACACTGAACAGTGGGAGAGTGTCCAGGAGAGCAACCATAATGATGACCAGCTGAAGAAATTGCGCATACTGAGCCTGTAGAAGAGAAGACTGGGGAAGCAAGAGTTGTCTCCATGTAGTTCACTATGTGAAGCCTTATGAGCCACGTGTATTTGAAGGCCTGTCCAGGAAGTGGGACTGAACTAGGACTGCAGGGGTCCAGGGCAGGATGAGAAGCGCCAGGTGCAGGCTGCCTCCGGCACACGCGGACGGTGGCAGGCTGGCTGTCATGGGTGGGGGACTCCTCTGCCAGGAAGGTCTGAGGTCCTCTCCAGTTCTCCAATTCTGTCATTTGGTGATAACACGAAAAGAACAGGATCCAAAGGAATCTGCATACGCTTTCGTTTCCATATCAGAGAAATGAATAGGGTAACACCTAAGTCATCTGCCATCTGAGAATTCTGTGTATTCATCGCAGATTGAATAGGCAGAACGAACCTTTCCTTTCCAACATACACTTCTCCCCCTGAAAATAACAGAAAGCCCATTCTTCCGTTTAGCAGATGTCACTATCCCATGCATTAAACTCTGCCCCCAACCTACTCGGCTATTCTAAAACAGCCCCCTCCCCAACCCCACCGAGGGTCGCGTGTCCTGGAGGGCGGCCGTTGTCTAAAAATCAGTTCCTCCAAAAGGGGAAGAAGCACACTGAAAACACCTATTCCGAGGACACTCTCAGAAAGTCCCCACAGCTCAGCTTAACAGACAAAAAAACACTGTGCCTCAACCTTTTCCAACACAGAATCAATGCCATAATGGGGCAGAGAGGGAAGCTAAAACCTGTTTCACTTTAGTGCCATTTCAAAACCAAAACCAAAACCAAAACCAAGGGGAGCTAAGCCAGGCAAGGCAGGGCAGGACAGAACACCTCAATGAAGTCCTGCCAATGGATCTCCTGAGAGGAGACACTTCGAGCACCTTCCTCCTTCTCTCCACCCCACCCTGCAAGAGCCAGGGAAATAGCAATTGTGCCCAAAGCCTTCCCAGAACAGAGGCAGGACACAAGCTCCAAGATACCTGCAAGGCATCAAGGGCAGAAAGGTGCACCTGCTTTCCGTTTAGGCACATCAAGAACAGACACCGACTCAACTCTCCTGAGCCTGAAAAGGGAGGGAATGCAACTGCTAACTACTATGACTTATCACCGGTACCTAAAAACATACTTGGGCCACATTCTATTCCTTAGTGCCACAAAAGAGCCATGTGGCTTTGGAGACCGGTCACTTCATCGCCATGAGACTCAGTATAAGTAAGCCCCCTGTACCCCTAAGAGCTTGTGCAACTCCTGCTCATGCTTTAAGACACCAAAGAAGCCCAGAAAGTCAGATTTACAGGATTTGGAGACCAGGGTCTCGCTGCTATCTGGTCATCACAGTCCATCACAGTCTGCCAAAGTTGGAAGGGACTTCTGAGGCCCTCCTCCCAAAATGAACAGGAAACCCCAAGAACACAGTTCAAATCAAATGGCCAAACGCTCTCTGCGAAAAGGCCTCACAGTGAAGGTAATGCCATCACTTTCCCTTTGCCTTTGGGGACAGCTCTAATTGTGAGGAATTTTTTCCTAGCATCAAGATGAAATTGGTCTCTGCAATTTCTACCCAATGCTCCTTTTTCTTTCCTCAAGGATCAAAAAAAGAAAAAGAAAAAAAAAAGAAAAAAAAGAAAGAAACCAAAATCTTTTAATATGAGAAGACAGCTATCAATCCCTTGGTCTTCCCCCATCCCCCAGTGCCAAAACTGTTCTTTTCCTAGCCAAAAATATTCTCATTTCCTTCATCTGTTCCACTTATGGCATATGCCTTACACACAGACTATAAGGAAAACTAAGTGCTACAGAATCGATGCTTTCGAATTGTGGTGCTAGAGAAGAGAGTCCCTTGGACAGCAAAGAGATTAAATCAGTCAATACTTAAAGAAATTAACTCAGAATACTCATTGGAAGGACAAATACTGAAGCTTAAATACTTTGGTCACATAATAAAAAGAGGGACCAGGGGCAGCTAGGTGGTGCAGTGGATAGAGCTCTGGCTTGGAGTCAGGAGGACGTGAGTTCAAATCCAGTCTCAGACACATGACACTTACTAGCTGTGTGACCCTGGGCAAGTCACTTAACCCCAATCCCCACTGCCTCGGGGGGTGGGGGGGGGGGGAAGGGGCCTCACTGGAAAAGACTGATGCTGGGAAAGACTGAAGGCAAAAGGAGAAAGGAACAGCAGAGGATGAGATGGACAGAGACTATCACGGAAACAACGAAC